TATGAACTATAAAAGCCAACCATCAATGGAAGCATTTGGTCTGATAGACAATTAGACCAGAAGCAACAAACACAATAGTCAGGAAATCCCTACTTTGAAGTCCTTTGACTTTCCAACATAGCAATCACCTCACACAGAGGCTCAGGTTTAGCCCCCCCCCTGAACCCCTGGGCCACAGAGTAATCCATCCTTGTAATAAACTCGACTATTCCTTTAACTGGGCTGGAAACACAGTGCTGAGACTTTTCAGATATGCAAACTGAAGCATACATCATACAGTTGCAAGAAAAAGTATGTGAACCCTTTGGAATGACCTGGATTTCTGCATAAGTTGGTCCACCGTAAGACAAGTTGTCTATAAATGGAGAAAGTTCAGCACTGTTGCTACTCTCCCTAGGAGTGGCCGTCCTGTAAAGATGACTGCAAGAGCACAGCGCAGAATGCTCAATGAGGTGAAGAAGAATCCTAGAGTGTCAGCTAGAGACTTAAAGAAATCTCTGGCACATGCTAACATCTCTGTTGACGAATCTACGATACGTAAAACACTGAACAAGAATGGAGTTCATGGGAGGACACCACGGAGGAAGCCACTGCTGTCCAGAAAAAACATTGCTGCACGTTTGAAGTTTGCAAAAGAGCACCTGGATGTTCCACAGCACTACTGGCAACATATTCTGTGGACAGATGAAACCAAAGTTGAGTTGTTTGGAAGGAACACACAATGCTATGTGTGGAGAATCCAAAGGGTTCACATACTTTTTCTTGCAACTGTGGGTCAAGAGGGATAACTTAAAACATAAAATCCCTCGAAAGGCATTTTTCCAGGCAGTTCCTCTCCAGGACAAGTGAAATATTACTGGTGTTTTAACTTGGCTTTGAATGCCTGTAGAAAAAGGCTTTACTAAAAAGGGACTACAAGCACCTTTGGGACTACAAGCACCTTTGGGACCTGCACTTTTTTTGACCCATCTTGGCCCTAAATGTCCAGCAAACTGCAGATTTGACCACAAGACAACTCATCCTGAAGTACAACACACCCCCTCAAAGTTGGACTGACTCACAGCTACCATGTAGCCAACTCATTAACACGTCCACATCTGAGTTTACTGTAACTTGTTCTTGGGATATGTTTTGTTTGTCCACCTCTCACTATTCGCCTGTTTTATACAAACATCCGTAGATAAAACATCTCTAAGTGGTTTTGGGAATTGTTGCCGTGTAACTGTGACTCAGTTGTCGCCACTAAATCCCTTAAGATGTTGGCTGAAGTCATAGCAACACCTGTTAGGCTCACATGCACAGTTAATGGAGGCTTATTTCATATGCATTGATGTCACTGAGTACTTTCCAGTAGCCCTGAATAGAGTCAGTCAGCTACATAGTGCATCTGTCTCAGTTCTACAATGAGAATATATAGGTGTCCTTTTAAACACACACTCAAGTTTTTTCCATGGGATCAACTTCTAATGACAGCGGATCTGTCTCAAGGTCCTAATCTTTCTCAGTCCACCTTCTCACACACTCTCCCCAGACTCTGGAGAAAGTGCTGCCTCACTGCCAAATCCAACAAAGTCATTTCCTGCAGGGAGGAAAATGACCCAGGCTAATTTTAGACGGAGGACTTGTAGAAACACAAGAAGCGAGGTTCTGCTCAGAGGGGGGGTTGCTCTGTGAGGGATTTATGTCACCAAACCTGCAGTTTGAAGGAAAGGTATCAGTGTGAAATGTTCTTAGGAGTGCAGTTGTTTCCCATCACTGCTAGTTTGGTTTTCAGTCACTTTCTCACAGTGACTTGATACTGTAACTTCTTTCTCTAGGTTTCTAGAAGCCACTTTAGAAGCCTTCTGAAACAGACATTTCCAACACGTCATATTTCAATTTCTTAGTTTTACTCACATTTGGATTGTTTCTGGGTTGTGAGACTGGCTCAATGTTGTGTGGTTGGTGTGGTTAATACAAATACAAATACAGCTGTTTCAGAACTCATTCAACAAAGAAAAGAGGCATTTCAAGAGTGAAAGCAAAAGAGGCAAAACTAGTCAAATGAAAACTGAGATCGTCTTTATGTTTCTGTTTGATAAAAACGTTTACAAAATGGACTTGTTGAGAACTGTGTCTTCCTAACAAATTGCCCATATCTGCGTATCTTTATAGTCTTTTATGTTGCATTGACCACAGAGGTCGCTACTAGCTATTATTAGCAATACTGTCCATTTTATTTTGGCAATTTGAACAAAACTGGCTCAAACTGTAACTGTCCAAATAATACTATGAGTAAAGGCCATTCATCCATACTATCCTCCAACCCCTTTCAAGTAGTCGATTATCCAATTGACAGTTTCTAGGGCATTTAGTCTGAAAGGAAATCTTAGTTCTGAGTCTTTTAAATAAATAATTGAAACCTTTCGTGAAGACACAACGTACTCACGGGAGGCAGGTCAATCAGAAAACAAAGTGTATTGAAAGTAGCAGCGTCACGGCAGGTTATTTCCTGGGAACTCGTCGGTATTCGACCGGTCAAGCATCTTGACCGGTCGAATACCGAAGCCATTTGCTATGACACTGTATTTAATAACTAGTGTACGACTACACTACACATTAAATAGGCTGAAAATGATCTCAACTTGCAGACTTCCATCTCCTCAGTGGCATAACGGAGTTGAACTGTTTTGCAATATCCTGTTGTATATATTAACCCTAGCCTAATCTGTCATGCCAACGTAAACATCTCTCCTCAACACAAGAATAAGCACTTAGGTGGCTTTTACACAACTTCTGTCTCTCATCATGCCCTTTCATCTCTCTCTGTCCACAGAACCTGACGGGGAGTCGCCTCCCCCCCAGGTACACCTACGACCCCTCCATCTTCGCCTTCCGCTCCTTGAGTACAGTGCCCCCTTGCAGTCCCCTGACCCCGTCCGAGGATCCCCCCTGCTCGTAAAACAACAAATGACCACCAGATAATCCTCCGCACCACTCTTCATTCCCAGACGGCTGCTTTCTTTTTTTACAGCTTTCTGCTTTGGGACCAAGAAGTGATTGTTCTAAAAGGGACCGCGCTAGAAAAGACGTTTGTTCCACGGTCAAACTATTTGCACACTCAGGTAATCCCACCCTGTCACTTTGATCATTTCTCTCCCCACTAAAAAACAACATTTGGGGAATAAAATGGCCTCAAACAATTCTAAGGATTCTTCAGGTTATGCATACGTCTCTGAAAAAGGCCCTGCGATTTGGAGGACGAATGACGCTAACATGGACTTGACGACCAGAGGTGGTACAAAGGGACCAACCATTTTGAAAAATGAATTTATCTCTGGAACAATATTCAAGGGAAAAATGCATGTTAGACAATCCAAGGTTTCTTCCTTTGATGTGATTACTGGACATGTTGTAAGGTTCTGGGTAACTTTATATAGTAAACATGTCATCAAAGTCAAACAAGTCATCGGATATCTTGCTTTTGTGGAGGTAAACATAGCCAGTGGTCACATATCGTCCGTCTGAAAATACTCTGGATGTGTTTATTGAGTATGCAGGAGCTATAACAAACATGTACGACATGTATGTAGTTAAATAGTCCGCCTGTCACGATGTAAGCTTCTTGAATTTGTCACTTTCTAGTCCAGGTTACGAATACTTGTATCCTCTTTCCTTGCATGGGTTCCACTGTTTGTGCAGAAAGAGAGGTATGTGGAAATAAGGAAGTATGAGAATAGTTTGCTGCGCATTTGACAAGTGTATTTGGCCTACTTGTAGTGCGCCATCTTTATTTCTTTCCAATATTGTACCTCATTATTTTCTAGATAGAAGAGGTCTGCTGGTGTTCTGAAGACACCCCAGTGTTTTCTTAAGATCTCTTAATGCCTTGAAATCACATTCCTGTTGTATTGAATGAAACTTGAGGTAGTTCTCGATTAAAACACGATGTCACCACTGTAACTAAGATTTCGCCGAAGTAAGTGAATGTAACATTGTGACGTCCATCGTTGCACAAAATGAATCAATAAATGCCCTGTGGCCTCTTGTTCATTGGATTTGGAGCAGTTTATATTTGTATAACTGTATACAATCACTTCACCTAAAGGGATCATTTGAATGTTGGAACTGATGCTGTTATCCATGTTCTATTCAAATCATTCAGGGGTTGCTGGTCTACGGCTGCCTCCATCTGTTAGTTTGTGTTATTATGTTGGTAGTTTAAAGTCACAAAGTAAAACTAACGTACTAAACCTTCAGGGTACCGGTATATCAGCGACCCCAGTGATCTGCCAGTTCAAACATTTCACTGGAGTCTGGTAGCTTTAGCAAGATCATGGATATTAAAAGAAAATTGCATTACTGATTCATTAATCATCAACTAATCAAAGGGTCATTAGTTATCTTTTATGGTATTCAACCCATCCTTCTTTCCCATAATTCATCAAAGATATTAAGTTGATTTCTAATTTTCATGGTTACCCATTTCATATATTTTATTTACAAGATCCTCATCAACATTAGCAAGAGCATACTTTCATTCTACATCAGGACATATTGTCGAGCACAGAAAGGTAAAGCTGCTATATATTTTAAATATAGTAGCTTTACCTGATAGACATTTCTTTTGACTTAGCCTTTTTTTAATTAAGCTGACTTTGGATTTCCTGCTGCCCACATCCATAACAGTACCTCATACTATCCCTTTATTCTGATAGGCGTATGTTTTATCATTGGAACATCGTCCGTAAGGTGCCAGGTGAACGACAGCGGACTCCTCTGGTGTTTTGGGCAGGGAGGAGTGCTTTCCGTCAGTGATTAGTGGGTCACAGCACAGAACATCACGGCAGAGATCAACAGCCAACACCACGAGCCTCTCAGTGCCAGATTATTTGCTGAGAAACACTGTGTGTGTGTGTGTGTGTGTGTGTGTGAGAGGCAGCTTCTGATGAAGAAAGACCCAGAATGTAGGGGGAAGGAATAAGAGGATGAATGTGAAGTGTGTAAAACAGTAAAACGGGTAATGTACAGACAATTTTATTTAACATTTATATAAAAAAAATACAATTCTTTACTTTGAGGGTGTGGAGTATGGCGGGATACCAACAGCACTGAGTGGGATTTCACAGAGAGAGGAATCCTGCTCTGGGCAAACGCACCAATCGCTGAGTCATCGTTAAAGACAATCTTGTTAAAAAGAGAACTTTGAGAAGGTTGTGTGTGTGTGTGTGTGTGTATGTGTGTATGTGCGTGTGTACACGCAGGCACACACTCCACTTAGCTTGAGTCATTATCAGCTTGCGTTTCAAGCAGTAAGCCATCCAAGTGTCCAGATGGTCAGAAAAGCTGCTTCAGTGCTCTCCCTCTCTTTCTCCACACTCTCCTTTAGAATAAAACATTTTTTTTTTTTTTTTTTTAAATGATGCCAAATACGCCGTTTGGATGTCAGGTGGATTCAAACTGCAAGAGCCAGAGAGCTGAATTCAGATCAGTTACCGCTCATGCTCTGTTGATTTGTTTTATTTTCTGCTTGGATGATAAAGAATTAAAAGTAAAAGAAAAAAAGGCTTTCATCTCTATTATTGTCATGGGTGGTAAGCGGGCTGCCAGCGGGCTGCCTGCCCAGTGTCTGCTCACAGGGCTTGCCAGATAATGCGAAATAGAATGTATTTTTTGCTTATGAGCATGCAAAGATAGAGAAAGGTGCTGCATTATTTCCCTTCTGCAGGCCCCTGAACGCCTCGCAGGGACTGGCAGACAGGGGGTAATGGTCGGCGCTGAGGAGACTGCAGGCTTTGTGTTGCAGGTATTGTACGCAGAATAAAAGCTGCCAGAGCTTTCTCTCTCTTCTGCTTCCCCTCAGTAGCCAAACTTGTCGTTGAGGTGTGTGCGGCCATCTCCAGACTGACCTGAGTACAGAAAAAGAGAGAATTAGCATCAAAGTGATCACCAATTCATGTTCAGAGAAAATCACCAACAGAATAAGATGTCCCTTTTCTAACTAATCACAATCCTAACATGACTCATCTGAATGAGTTCTGACCCCAACTCCAAGTTCGGTTAGGCAGCTGTTTCACATTTATTTTCATTCAAGCTTATCTTATCATTTTTGGGTGACTTTGTTGTGCATTCCTGAGCAAACAATGATAATGTTGCTGCAATTTCCGCCGCAGTAATAGACCATGAAAGCCTGTTCACTTCCCTGTTATTCCTGTGCTGAGTAGGCCAGGAAACTACAAGCCTGTCTTTGTCAACAAGTGTTTGTCAGGTTAAAGAAACAGAAGCCTTATCCTTATCCTGGGCACCTACTTTGTTTCATATCTGAATACAAATATTACCCAGCTTTCTCCTCCTTTGGGGAAAAGTGTGAAGATTGAGGCCTAGTCCGCAAATACAAGGAATTTAAAGATTCCCTAATACGGTATTTACATAGTGACATCACTATGTAACACTCACACCTATTGGCTAGCGCTCCAACACATTGTACGAGAGGCTTATGGGCAGGACATATCTAAGCGGTTGACCAATCAGAGCAGACTGGACTCTGGTTTCAGACAGAGGGTGAAAAGAGGTGCTGCAGCACAGGCAGTATGAGAACAATAAAGAGCTTTTTGAACATTAAAGCATGGAGACATGTCACAGTAGAGACACTAAATACATGAACCCATGGGCGTAGGAAGCATCCTCAATGTGGGTGGGACAATTTAACAGGGGGTGTTAAATTGGTGGTGGACCTCACCTCCTCTTGGGGGGGTCCGGGGGCATGCTCCCCCGGGAAGATTTTTTTTAAATGTTGAAGTTAAATGCATCAATCTGGTCCATTTTGAGAGCAAAGTTAGGGACTACATCTATGGATACATCTCTCAACACCCATATCAAACAGAACTGTTTAAAACAGACTTTTTTTTTCTTTGTGCATATTTTACAAATCACTATGCATTTTAAACTGTATTTTTGTTTTACTGTCCTATAGTATTGAGTTGGAATTATTTCATACCTGTTATTCTCTTATTTTGTATAATGATCATATCAAAGGTGTGCCTTGGAAATACTCGTTTACATGAGATAACTTAGACTAAAGTTAACTATCGAAACACTCAGAGTCCTCTACCTCCCTGAGCTGACGTTATAAGATTTGTTTGACAGGAGGGAGCTCTCTTCCTCCTTGTTGTAGAAACAACTCCTTATGTACGTTAGCGCTCTCTCGTTCACTCTCTCTCTCGCTCACTCTCTCTCTCGCTCACTCTCTCTCTCGCTCACACAAAATGCGCTTGTCGTGCCACACACACAGCCAAGCTATGACACACAAAGACCCAGAATAACTTTTATGCTGTATCCTATTCTTTTCGATGGCTTTATTGTATGATATGACAGATGAACAGATCACCACTGGGTTTACAACTAAAGACACAGCTATGCAAAGAACGCAGCATGTGTACGGCTCATGTGTACGGCTCTGAGAATCTGCCTTGGTACAAAGTAGCAGTGAAAACATGGTGCGGAATTTCATAGATTTGGGCTTTCTCTCAAGCAAGTGGAATGGATTTGATATGAAGCACTGACACAGCGCTCTACAGAGTGGCGAGTGGAGAGATCGATGTACGGACTTTCCACATGGTAAAAGTGGGGGGGTCTAAACTAATCATTTGAAAAGGTGGGGGGGACTTGTCCCACCTTCATATAATGGCCATGCATGAACCTGAATATAAGCATGATGGGGCCCCTTTGATGCAACCTCTGGAAAAAAGTCCAAACGCATTGAAAAAGCTTAAGGTTTACATGTAGAGACAAATACATGTGATCACACTCACCAGAACAAAGAGCAATAGCAGTATGTTAAACAAGTGACTTAATGAGATTGAGTCATGAGTACATGATCAGTTGGTCAGAAAGTATTGGAGTCTTGTGCTGATATGTACCTGTCGGAGGCAGCCACACACAATAATCCGGGTCGTCCTCTGGATACTTTTCAGAGAGCTGCTTCGGGGGCTGTGGGGATGTGGGAAACCACGAGAATGATAACACTTCTACGTCACACTCTTACTATTAGAAATATGTGTTGTTACTGTATGTGTGATGACCCACCCTGCTGGGGCCCATCACTTTCTTCTTCACGTTCTTCCTGGGGCTGGGCTGTGCCGCTGGCTCTCCATCACTTCCTGTTCCCATAGAGATGGAGGTAAAGCCCATTAGAGAGGAAGCACTAAAACACAATAACCAGCATTGGAGACTAATAGGGAAAGAAGAAAACACAGTATCCACCTGGACTCGTTGGGGTCTCAGCCTGAGGACCCTTCTTCTCCACTTCATCACACTCCTCACTCTTCCTCGGTTTGCGGCCTGGCTCTATTATTAATTGGTACAAGCAATAATTAAAGTGTGATTATTAATACAGGAACAATGTTTAAAACCACACTCCATAGATTTCACTTTGTTAGACACATCATTTGTCTTTATATAACTCTAAAATAAAACATCAACAGTAGTGGAATGTAACAAATCACATTTTGAGGTACTTCTACTTTACCTGAGTATTTTTTAATTGTATACTTCTATTTCACTACATTTTGGAACACAATATGTACTTTCTACTCCATTACATGATCTGACAGCTGTAGTATCTTTACAGATTCAGATAATCAGCTCATAACAAATATAAATCCATAAACAATCCATCACACATAACGAGTACTTTTAACTTTAGTGCTTTTTGATGCAAATACTTTGGTACTTTTGAAAGCAGGACTTTAACTTGAATGTTTTTAAAAACGTAGTATTGCTTCTTTAACTTAATAAAAAAATCTAAGTACTTCTTTACCCTAGGTTCAACAGCATGCTATTCACATATGTAACACATACTGCCCCCTAGTGGTGCACACAACAAGTACTACTACTACTACGAAGAAGAAGCATTTACAAAATCTAAACTAAAGAAGGGTTACTATCCTCTTTAAATATACCTACTTAAAAATTCCTCGAAATCTTAAGGCTTTTTACCTTTGGGCTCTTGTGACCTCCGTTTCTGCGTCTTCTGTAGAGACGTGGATGCTTCAGACTCTTCATCATCATTCTCAGACCTAGTTTCACCCTCTTGATCATCATTATCCTCGTTTTTCTCTGCTTCCTCCTCCTCCTTTTCTTCCTCTTCCTCCTCTCCACTGGGTGGAAGTTCTTTCATGTTGAAGAGCTCTGCGGGTAAGTTGGGGCGCTTCGGAGGCAACTTCTACATGAGAGGAGGAAACATCAGTAAGAGAAAGAAGCCGAGTAAAAAGACGGCAAAGAAAGGTCTTTTTTAGAGACATGAAAGATGCCGAACAACACGCACCCCGATGGTCCCGGTCTTCAGTCGGAACTTGCTTCCTCCCTTCATGGCTCCGAACAGCGGTAAGGACTTTTTAGGCTTCTCCGGCTCTGAGCTTCCACTGTGACAAACACACATCAAAATACCTTTGAACATTTTAATGTGGCTTAAGTTATATTTTTTTTATGAATTTCATGTTGGGAATTTACCCCAAAAATGATATGAATGAAATTCCTCCACTTTAAAAGGGATAGTTTGGATGTTTTAAAGCAGGTTGTGTAAGAGGTACTCGCCACATCAATGTATCGTAGATGCTCCCACTTCGTAAGAATAGGCAGAAGCACAGAAGCTTTAATCACTTTTTAAAACAAGCCCACCAAAAAAAATTCTATTTCATTTGTTACTTTTAAACAATATAGGTGTATAATTAGAATATTTTCACCCTTTTATCTCGCTGTCAGACAGTCCTCTCTGGAGGGGATCTGAAGCGTTTATCTGTGCTTCCTTCAAAGCCACCAAACTACATTCACAAAACCCACATTGTACTTCACTGAATACAGAAGTTGTTGGTTTACTCTGGCCTGGAATAGATCGTCCGTCTGTGTTATTGTTGGTAATGTGTGTTTCATAGGGTCACAGAAGAAACAACCAAAGTCACCCATAAAGGCAGCGACAGACAAACTACTTGTGTGAGTTGAATACGGTCAAATGAGTTTTTCTCAATGGAGGCAGGTGGCTTTGAAGAGAGTTGTAAGGTATTCAGTTCTCTGGCTGAAGGGGACACTGAATGCCAGGTAAAGCAGCTCAAATATTGAAAATAATGCGATGACTTAAACTGAGATTGATTTCTATTAGGTGGGTCAAATATATCTTTAGGGAGGATGTGCTGACACTATCAAACTCTGGGTGTATTCTACAGTTCTCAGCAGTATGACATTGAACGCAGCACTGTGTCTGACCCTGGGAGCAGTGAAGGCATCTGAGCGGGCCGCGTCAGCTCCACCAGTTTGCGGAGCCTCTGAACCTCTTTGCGTAAGTCGGCCGAGTGCACATGAAGCTTCCTGCGCTCCACGGCGTCCATGGCGACCTCGCTCCTCACCGCCGTCATGAAGGCGTCCAGAGGGTCGTCAGAGGAGGGGCCGGAGGAGTCTGAGAGGGGGGGGGGGGGGAGCGACAAACAGTAAGGCATTGTGGGATCAGTACACAGAAGAGTGCTGACTCAGGCCGTCAGGACTCACCTCCTTTCCCTCCACTCAGCTTCCTCTGAGTCTCCGCCAGCTCCTTCTCCACCTCTGACAGTTTGGACACCTATAAGGAAATCAAATACATGACCGTTTTTACAGAAGCATGCATTACATATTACATATAGAGTGCTTCCTAAGCAAAAAGTGAAATGTTTTTCTGTTAATAAAAGAAAGAGCCTCTTCCTAAACCCTTTAGTGGCCACCAGCATATAAGCATGTATTAACATTATTCTGGCCGAGAGGCGATAAAGTGTGGTTTATAAGGTTTGTGGATTTTATAGCGTGTAAATACTGTAGTATGAAAAAACAGAGACAGCAGTATTCCACGATATCTGAAGAAATTCATAATTAGTGGTTTTAGTAGCATGCCTTTTAGCTATGCTGATGGTAGGGCTGGATAAATGGTAAAGTCAGTTTTTTCACTAATTGACCACTTTGGTCGAGGCTAAAATAGGCAACGATTATTGGATTGAAATACTGACCAATCAGAACCATTGGGCTTTTTCTAAAGGGGAACTTAAAATGACAGGCGATAAAACAGAGCATTCTAGAGGTATATTCAAGAAGATGGTATGAGAAACGGTTTTTTTCAACATTTAAAGGTTTACACATATACCAGTAGAAAATAAAATACAGGAATCCACTTAGTAAACTTAGATGGTAACAACGGTAAATATTGAACCTAAATATACCGGCATTCAAATACCAATACCGTACTATTCAGTATAGAGCAAGGGTGTCCAACTCAAGGCCTGGGGGCCAAATCCGGCCCGTGACTTCATTTTCTGTGGCCCCACAAGAGCTTGCAAAGGATATAATATGTTTATTATACGGTTACATGATGATTTATAGAAGCACGTTGCCCATAAACTACATGTCCCACAATGCATCTCAAATTTGACTTTCTCAGAATTTGACTTTTTTTCCAAAATGTTTTTGTTTTGGACTTTGTTCCATAATTTGCCTTTTCTTTTTAAATAATTTTATGACATTCTCACTGAAGAGACTTGCAATTATTTGCCCTAGACTTCTGCTTTCAGACGTAGTTAATTATGAAGTTATTACCTTATCTGATAATAATCCAATGCAGAGGCAATCATGTAATATAATACATTATATAGAAATACATATATAAATATTTAATATTTATAAAATAGTCTTAAAGTTACAACCGGACCTTTGAGTGCAACCATAATGTTAATGTGGCCCGTGATGAAATTGAGTTTGACACCCCTGGTATAGAGACACAAAATGATCTATACATTGTATGTCAAATACAGTATGCCAAAAATATCTGGATGTGCTACTACCACACATTTGAGGAATAGCTTGCATTTTTCGGGGCTATTGTGACCCACAATCCCTTGCGTAACAGATTTATCATTAAAAGGAACAAAGAAATAGTATGTTATTAGGACTGAGCCTTTTTCTTCTCCATATCAGCACTCTGTCATCCTTGTCAATGCGAGTGTCCAACATACTGACGTGCGGGATTAGCTCCAAGCAAACACATGTAATAAAGGAAACAGTGAATACTATAAGGTGATTATTAAAGATGTATGGATCAGAATACAGTAATAATCACAGGTTTTGTAAACATGAACAGTAGGCAGATTATTTACCAATGATTCGTAGGTCTCAGGCCGCTCATCCACCTTCCCCGCCTTCTTCATCCTCTCGTTCCTCTTCTTCTCCACAGTGCCGGTCCGATCCAGGAAGTTGTCATCGTCGCTGTCGTAGAAGTCCTCGTCCTCCCAGTTCTTCTTCTTGCGCTTACGGGACACTAGAAAAAGTATTTTTAAACAAACTGTTAATGCAGTCCTTCGTATTATTAATTACATTTTTGATACGTTCCCTCTGGAGTTCCCACCTGCTTCCTGTCGCAGCAGCCCTCTGGCCTCCAGCATCCGACAGGCGTCCAGGCAGCACTGGATGGCTGCGTCCTTCTTCTTCCCTGTGTGGGTCACCTCGGCAACCAGCTGTCGGCCCATGGCGTCGTCCACCGGGAGCCTGATGAAAACATGAATGTGTGACTCTACAGACTTTCTGACGACATGGAAATATGTTTTTTAAACTCTGCAAACGTCACTCACTGTATTCTGCAGAGCCAGCTGCCATGGCTTTGGTCTTCATACTCAAACTCCAGCTCCTCTCCTACGATAAAGCACGTTAAAGTCAGGAAACACAAGAAACAGAAGGACCAGATGTCTGTGGATTAACGGTAAATCTCGTCACCCTCTCTGTCGTAGAAGCCCTGCAGAGCCTTCTTTGGGTCTTTCAGGTACGCGGCCTCCTGGTCCTCCTGGAACTCGGTTGAAAACGGGTTTTCCTCGTTCTCGTCTTCCTCCGGAGCGGCTTCCTCACCTGCAGCGTGGATTTAAAGAGACGGATGGAATGAAAGGAAAGTGGAACAACAAGGATTAAGGTGCTTCTTAAGAGAAAGTTGACAACAACAAGAGAAATGTCAACACAGATGACACATAAGCTCACCCATTCCCCAAGAACAGCCCGACTCATTGTTTGACGGTTTGCCTGGGACCTTGCTGCCTTCAGATTGCCCGTCTTCCTCCTTCTCATCATCATCATCATCGGACCCGTCTCCCGTCATCCTCTTCTCCAGCTCTTCCCTCCGTTTCCGGCCTCTCTCCCTCAGCTCGGTCACCGTTAGCTCGGACTCCTTTTCCTCATCAAACTCTGGACCCTGTGGAACAAGGGAAGGGGGGAAAGCACACATTACTCCATGCATTCCTACATAACGTTACCATTAACGCAGCGGCCTACATAACCCACAATGCACCTCACCATCAATAGTTCAGTCAGAGATTTAGGTGTGTTATGCTAGTAGTGACTAATGTAGCCCAAGCCTAACTTGTTGTTGTTCAAAAACCCAACCAACGCTGACTCAAGTGAGATCAAACAAGGCAATGGAACACACACCTCCAAAATGGAGTCAAAAAAGGCTTTGAAAAAATGTCACATATGCATTCAAACTCTACTAGAGAGAATAATATTTGTATTCAATATAATGTTCTGATATTTTTTATTTATTAATGTCTTTGGGTTTTATTCAAAAGTTTCAGTAAAAGAACATTTAAAATAATTTCCATTCTATTTCTATTTGTAAAAATACTTCATAAATACTTTAGATATTAATGTTTTTTCTTATTTGTGCATATTTATTTAATTCTAAGTTTGTTTGCGCTTGTGTATGTACTGTAGTAGACAATTATTTAAAATAAAAGCAAATGATTTTATTTGAATAGCCGGTACCTAGCTTGTAGTGTAGAGACCCATCCCAAAGCTTTTAATGTAATCTTTCACATGTCAGTATATTAATTGGGGGGTCAGCATCTGGATTTACCTGCAGTATGAAAAGCCTCGTGCTCCCACCAAACTTTAACACATGTCCCACGCGGATCCTGATGAAGGTCTTGGGGGGGATCTTGTTCTTGTTGACCACAGTGCCGTGAGTGCTGCCCAGATCATGAACGTAGAAGCCCCTCTCCTCCCCCACAGACTCCCCCTCTCCCTGCCCTCTGCGGTACTGGATGATGGCGTGGTACCTGGAGATGGAGGGATGATCCAGAGGGACGTCACACACAGGTAGACGTCCAACCACGATGTAGCTTTTATCTGTGAGGGGCACCGTGTCAATTATGGTGCCGTTTTTAAGGATTTCCAGAGCATAGGGAGTATCTGGAGCCGTGCCTCCCCAGAGTGGCTCTGTGTATGGGATAGGGGGGAATTTACCAACTGGGGGCCCTTTAGCAGACTGTAGCACCCTTGGCTTCGCTTCTTGCTTGGGTTTGACAGGAGCCACGCTCTTGTCTTTAGCGCATTTCTTCTCCTCTTCTTGGCTCTTTTCGGTGGGTTTGCTGTCAATAACAACACCAGAAGAATATGCATTTTCTGTGTCCACGTCTTTAGCTTCGTTTTCTTCTTTCACGTGTTTTACCTCGGTTGCTGCTGGTTTGGACGGAGCTGCGTTACTGCGTTTGACAGTGAGGGAAGGAACTGCGAAAAGAGCCGGTTTTTTAAACGTGTCCTCTTTTTCTGGGTCATTTTTCTTGAAGGTATTGTTTTCAGGTCCTCCCTTATTCTCTTCGGCCGTGCACTCGTCTGTTTCCATTGTAGAGTGATCCGTATTTTCCAAACACACGTCTGACGGCGGGGAGGCGGCCATGTTTATTTGGTGCGACTGTAAAATGTGCCCGGGTTTTTTCCAAAGACTCCATCAAACCGCTTATAAACAGTATTTTACAAAACACTAATGTAAATAAATCATTTAAAACACAAATACATGGAATTTCAAATGAATGTATTATTTTATGCTTGTCACAACAAATGTTTGTGGCGGAACTAAACTTCTTGTTCATATGTTCACCCGAGTTTTTTGCAAAAAGGACGGACATACTTGTTTCCTGTGCAACTTCCTTCAAAGACACAACAGCCATTGGTTTCAAATATTAACCACCGTGTCATTTATTCCTGTGTAATGTGAGTTGTTGTTGCATTTTTTATTTAAATAATTTAGGTAGATAAACATGCGAACTGAGCTAGCTAGCCTGTAGCCTTCTCGTTGCTCCTATATGAATGCGTTACTTGCTGCTCTATTGTTTGATGCTGTACCAAACTCCTGTCACACACCTGACGTTCTTTGTTGTTCTGCTATTTAGCGAAATAATATTCCTGTAAAAACTTGAATTTAATGCATACGCAAATCAATGCGTATGCGAATACTTGACTATTCATCAAACACAAAGTCTCGAGTTTCCAGATACATTATTTTACCATAAACAATGCATCGCCCGCTCTTCTCTTCATAGTGTCTTTTTAATCAAAAAGCAGTATTGAGTAAGCGAAAGATGATCACAACATAAGCTCCAATGTTGATACAGGTCTGAAAACATGTTCTATAAGTTGTGATCCTTTGCCCCTATTCACTTAAATACTTTTGGCGGCTATTGACTACTAGTATTTAGCGTGTTTACCTTTTGTTATGTTTAGTTGACAATCTATATGGGCAAAAACCACAGCTACGAAAAGTAATGGTTTAGATGTTAACTATTCAATTAATTAACAACTATGTAGGTAATCAGTTTGAGAAGAAGTTTAAATTCGGCTTCTTCTATGACACGTAAACTGAATGTAATTGAGTCGTTGACTAAACAAGACTTTTGACAAAGTTATCTTGGGCTCTGAAACACTGATCAATATTTTTCAGACGAAGTACTAATCGAAAAATGTATTGAGAAAATAATCAACAGATTAAATGACAATGTTAATGAATGTTTGTTGCAACCCAAGCAAAAACACATTTTAAAAAGCCCAAAAGAGTTATAATTAATTAGTTAATTGAATGTGTATCCACATATCCCAATCAGTGCTTCTTCTGTTTTCATCTGATGTTTTTATACCAACTTTAGCCTTTATTGTGATTGTCACCTTTCTAATTTTCAGATTAAATTCCAGTTTGGATTTCTCCAGCTTTGATCCCCCATCATGATGCGTTACTGGGGCGAGATCCCCGGGCCAGCGGGGGCTCCTCCCAGCCGCAGCTCCTTCGACCTGCTCCAGCGTGAGTTCCGCTCAGTGGAGATGCAGGACCCCCCCCTGCACCAGCCCTCAGCCCAGCGCCCCCGCCCCACCACGATGCTGGACATCCCCTCAGAGCCCTGCAGCCTCACCATCCACACCGTGCAGCTGTGTCAGCACACCCGCCGCCTCCGGGGCCTCCTGTCTGCGGCCCAGGGTCAGGGCTCAGCGACCTCTGAGGGCGGCAGCAAGCTGGAGGAGGCTGACACCAACCTGCCGCTGCGGCCTCCCACCCCCCCCAACATGCCCGATGACCTGCTACCTGCAGACAGCAAAGCCCCGCGGCAACCCTTCCTGCTCCGACACAGTGACCCTGAGAGTGACTTCTACAAGTGAGTTCATTCGTCCGAGCCAAGAAGCTGGTCTCTTGTCATTTTTATTAAATAACTTCCATTAAGCATATAAATTGTAGACTAAAAAGTAACTTAAAGGTTAAGATCTTTAACCTTTCTTTTCCTTTTTTTTTTACATATTTATCAACATTTTAGGGATATGACCTCATACAGTACATGCTGGGTGATTTGGCCTAATGTTTTATTCCTATATAGAGCTAATTTTCATTAAAGATTGTATTATAAATGTCAATTGACAGCATTATAATAAGAACCCACTTTGATAATAGATTATTGTTGAAGTATTTTTAAGGCAAACATGTGGTACCTGCTTCTGAATATCACTTGTATTGTATATGTTTTTATTATGATTTCATCAGAACATGTATCCATAAGCCGCATTCACACCGCAGGACTTTCCCTGGTACTTTGGTTCTTTAGTTCCGTTAGTACCAATAATGTCGCGTTCACACCACCGGGACTACTAAGTGCCGGGAACTCTTTTGGCCATGTTCAGTCCCTGCTAGAGAGGTGGTACGAACCTGGTGATAAAAGAGTGCCAATTTCTATTCTATTTCTATTGGCTGGGCGAATTGCAAACCACGCCCCGTTAGACTCTGAATTTTTTTTGTTAGGCAGCCATTTTTTTCCTCGCAACAAAACCACATCCACACCTGAGCAAGTAGTTTTTTTGTACTTTAAAGCAGTTATGACCACACGTACTACAACACCGGAGCGGTGGAATGATGAGGAAGTGTCGGCGCTTCTGGCAATTTACTCTGAGGACGGGATGCAGCAGCTTCTACAGAAAGCAGTTCCCAACTCCAAATGTTTTGAGCGATGTTCGCAAAAGCTACTTGAGCTGGGAATCGTGCACAGTGCACACGGATGCCGGGTAAAAATAAAGAAACTCAGGCAGGACTATAAAAAAATTAAAGACCACAATAATAAGAGTGGTAACGATTTTCTATTGTTATTATATATATATATATTGCCTCTGTTTTTTAATACTGACACCTAACTTGCACTAAGGTGTGTCTGCTGCTATATATATTGCCACTGTTACATTGTTTTGAAACTATTTACACTTTATTATACATTTCACACTTTTATTTAACTTCAATTTACATGCATACGACACACCTGGAACAGCGTGATGCCGTTATTGTTATGTCTTGACTGTGCAATAAAACAAACAAACTGGCGAAGCTTTATTTATTGTGTCCCACCCCAAATGTGCAGAATAGAAGAATGTGAGAGCAGACAGGTGTCGGTGGTTGAATGTATCTTCAATGTTGCAACCTTGTGCAGCAATGGCAGGGGCAGAAACACAAGTCTTACACACATAAACACAAGTAATTTATCATGTCATTTGTTTTAGATAAATAAGGGAAAAACACCAAACAAGGGTTAATGTCCTTTTCCAAAATCAGCCTGAGGGGGTAATATATAATAAATACATAAAGATAAAGTCCATTGTTATAATGGGGTATTTTATTTGTAAATTACTCTTATGAACTCCATCATGTCTGAGGTCGGAAAGTAAACAAACGCCTCATACAGCGGGTGGGCTTTATACCCCCTCCCCCGTGTAGTTCTTCTTCTCTCGTTTTTTTTTGTACTCGCCGTGAAGTGGTTTTGCGGCCTGCCAGTAAACCCAGAGAAGAAGAAGACGAAGTGACGTCAGCGTAATCTTGCCTCAGGGAAAGTACTGCGGTGTGAATGCGATTGGCACTAGCCCCCTGGCGGATTCAGTGCCGTGGTACTTTAGTGCCGGCACTAAAGTACGGCAAGTCCTGCGGTGTGAAAGCGGCTATTGATATTAAAAGATCCTTAGATAGTCTCTAAAGGCATATACACTGAACACAAATATAAATGCAACACTTTTGTTTTTGCTCCCATTTTTCATGAGATGAACTCAAATATCTAAAACATTTTCTACATACACAAAATAACCATTTCTCTCAAATATTGTTCACAAATCTGAACTAATCTGTGATAGTGAGCACTTCTCCTTTGCCGAGATAATCCATCCCACCTCACAGGTGTGGCATATCAAGATGCTGATTAGACAGCATGATTATTGCACAGGTGTGCCTTAGGCTGGCCACAATAAAAGGCCACTCTGAAACGTGCAGTTTTGCTTTATTGGGGGGGTCTGGGGGGGTCCGAAAACCAGTCAGTATCTGGTGTGACCACCATTTGCCTCACGCAGTGCAACACATCTCCTTCGCATAGAGTTGATCAGGTTGTTGATTGTGGCCTGTGGAATGTTGGTCCACTCCTCTTCAATGGCTGTGCCAAGTTGCTGGATATTGGCAGGAACTGGAACACGCTGTCGTATACGCCGATCCAGAGCATCCCAAACATGCTCAATGGGTGACATGTCCGGTGACTGGCCATGCAAGAACTGGGATGTTTTCAGCCTCCAGGAATTGTGTACATATCCTTGCAACATGGGGCTGTGCATTATCATGCTGCAACATGAGGTGATGGTCGTGGATGAATGTTACAACAATGGGCCTCAGGATCTCGTCACAGTATCTCTGTGCATTCACAATGCCATCAATAAAATGCACCTGTGTTCGTCGTCCATAACATACGCCTGCCCATACCATAACCCCACCACCACCATGGGCCACTCGATTCACAACATTGACATCAGAAAACCGCTCACCCACACGACGCCACACACGCTGTCTGCCATCTGCCCTGAACAGTGAAAACCGGGATTCATCCGTGCAGAGAACACCTCTCCAACGTGCCAGACGCCATCGAATGTGAGCATTTGCCCACTCAAGTCGGTTACGACGACGAACCGGAGTCAGGTCGAGACCCCGATGAGGACGACGAGCATGCAGATAAGCTTCCCTGAGACGGTTTCTGACAGTTTGTGCAGAAATTCTTTGGTTATGCAAACCGATTGTTGCAGCAGCTGTCCGAGTGGCAGGTCTCAGACGATCTTGGAGGTGAACATGCTGGATGTGGAGGTCCTGGGCTGGTGTGGTTACACGTGGTCTGCGGTTGTGTGGCCGGTTGGATGTACTGCCAAATTCTCTGAAACGCCTTTGGAGACGGCTTATGGTAGAGAAATGAACATTCAATTCAGGGGCAACAGCTCTGGTGGACATTCCTGCTGTCAGCATGCCAATTGCACGCTCCCTCAAAACTTGCGACATCTGTGGCATTGTGCTGTGTGATAAAACTGAACATTTCAGAGTGGCCTTTTATTGTGGCCAGCCTAAGGCACACCTGTGCAATAATCATGCTGTCT